TTTGTTTATTTTAATGAAATATAAGTAAGTTTAAGGAACACTCATAAATATTTCAATTACTCTAAACTGAAGTACACTTGCCGTTCTGCTGTTCTTTTTATATTTTTTGCGGCCATCGTAAACTGTCAAAAAAATGTAAATGCTACGAAATTCTCAGCATTCTGGAAAAAATTCTACAAATCCTTGCCATATAAAATATGCAAATCCGACTCACTTAGCTTGGAAAATGTTTTCCCCCCCATCGTAGTTTTCTCCTTATTCGCTGCGAAAATTCTTCCCCAGTGAGACGGCGGAGAGACACACCTGAAAATAACTCAATGACTGCCACAAATTTGCCATTTTTATGTGACTCATAAATACGGGCAGCCTTCAAAAGCCCCGAGGGCTGAGGAAAGGATATCTGTCCAGGGTTAAGGAGAGAGTTATGCGGAAGAAGCCTGCCGATGCAGGTGAATGTTGGTGAAATAAAAACGCGTAGCAGTGAGAGCAACATCACGCATACGCACCGTGGACAAACATATGCAAAATCATCGGCTGAGTATTTGCATACAAATGTCATGCATATGCCCAAACGCCCATCTATGCATGTGCGGGTGTGTGCTCGGTAAGTATTTCTGTTGCAATTTCCGGCTACTATAACCGGAAGTGAAGCTGCTCAAAAATTCATGCAACCGTAAAAGGAGCAAAGTGCGCCAATAAGCACAAGGAGAAACGACGAAACCAACGTTCGGCAGTCGGTTGGCATTTCTTACGATTGTTGTTTTCTTCTTGGTCTGACTCCGACTTCCTTCTTTCCAGTATTTTACTTTGGCGAAACACTTCTTGCATATTTCCTAGAGTCGCCAGAAATCGACGGACGTCGTCTCCTCCACAATTTGCATATAAAATATTTTGTGCGAATTACACACACATGCGAGCATCAAGTGCTGGCATCGCATAAATCGCATTCGCCTCAGAGTTCTCATTGATTTACGACAGAATTTTTAATAGTTTGGAAATTGTTGCCGATAAATATATTCTATTTATGCACTATTGCATTTCTTGTATCATAAATTCAATGCCAAACCAACTTAAATGTGATATATGGGAGCGGCAGATAAGTTTGAAACTTGAATTAAGTGTGTATCTCTAAGGCCATTTGCCTTTGCTCTATGGTATGTATTCCCCTTGTATACTGCTCCCTTTATTTTATTTAAATGTAACCCGAGCGTTTTTTATTCGCGAATAAATCGTTCATGTCCGCAGCGAAATCAATTCACTTGTGAACAGAGCGACAACCGACTGAAAGTGGAATGTTTGCCATAAGAATCGCTCGGGTTCGCGGCATATTTAAATGGCCGGCTATTTTTTCAATTTGGACCTCAAACAAATCAGAGGAACGGAAATAATTAAATTTTTGGAGGCGCACGCAACGGTGGCGGGAAAAACACAATTTTTCGCACGGCTGCCATTCGGGGTCCGAAAAACCATCAGAAAAATGCATCATGATGGGGATTCTGGCGGGACCTGCTGCACCTCCTGTCCTGTCCCTGCTCCCTGCTCCCTGCTGGCTGCTTGCTGCTCCTTGTGCCACGCCGGATGCCTATGAAATGCAGCTGGTGTGTAAAATGATTTTTGCTCCCTCATTCATTAAAAAACAATTAAATGTGCGACACGCGAACTTAATTACACTTTTACGCGGCCATCGCGGATGACAACAGCAATGATGCCAATGTCGTCTCCACGTCCTCGTCCTCGTCCTCATCTCCATACCCTTATCCTGGCTGCCTACCATTTGTGGTTTTTAGTGCTTGCCCGTCGCGACACACTCTTCAACTTGAATATTTTATGGCCTTGCAACGGATCCAGGACAGAGGACGGAGAACCGTGGACCCTGGGCCCGGACATCAGACAATTTGTATAATCAACAATTAAAGTGCGGATCGGCTCGTGGGCACGCATTAAGTGGGCATTGTCTGGGCCGACTCCTCCTCCTCCTCCTGCCATCCCGAAAAGTGGGAGATTTTCCAATTTGTACTGGCAGCAAATTGCAAAGTTTTGTTTTGCGGTTGTTTCCATCTTGCCCAGACAGACTGACTGCCGGACGGATGGAAAAACAGAAAAGGGCCCACATTTTCGGACGGCATTAAACTTCAATTGCGCGTTAAACATTTCTGCGCAGCGTGTCGTTTTTGTGTTTTTGCAGTCTTAACCCATTAAAACATTCCTCCGACGCGGTTGTTGTTGCCATTAATGGCATTAATTAAAAATTAAATTTGTTACAAGCCCGTTTAACGCCTCGCTGTCTGACTTGCTGTTGAATTTTCGTACCAGAAAGCATTTGATATGCTACCTCAGATTTGTATTTCAATAGACACAGAAAGGAGAGAGAGAGCTGTCAAACTTCTGATATCCGGTCCATATTTTAGTGACTTATATTTGACTTTATGTCAGGCAGAGTATTTCCGCTTAGTAGCTACTTCCTAGAGCAAGAATGTGAAAACAGGTCAAGCTGAAACGCCGCGATTAAATTCCAAGCTCATCCCGCGAAGCCTATAAATTTTGGGCAACCCACACACGCTTAAATTTTCTGGTGTATTTATTTATACACTTGAAAATTAAGTTATATATACTATATAATAGTTTTACTTAACGAATTTTCTTTAAAATGCTCACAAATATCCAAAAAATGTTTAATTTTAAGATCAATTACTACAAATTCCTATTAAAATATGTAATACATCTTAGTTTTTCTTTTAAATTACAATTTATTTGTTATTTAGTGAAATACAATTAAGATTCATTTATATTTAATTAAAAAATTCATAATTTCTCCTGGTGTAAATGTATTACAAAGATTCAAACACGCGCCGAGCGTAATCATGGCAGATGTCCATGGTGGCATGGCTCAACATTTCAGGAACCGAGAACTAAGCTTCACGGCTTTTGGTTTTTGTCAACGCAAGAAAGCCCAAAATTAAATAGAAAATAATTTGATTTATGTTGGTGTGCATGTGGCCGACAGACCGTTCGAATGTGTATGTATACATTTTGGCTGATTAGCCATTGTTATTTTTGAATATTTACGGCTGTGGGAACGAGTAAAACAGACTCTCCGGGCGAGAGTAATGGAGAATGGGTTCAATAACCTCTCATTAATCCAATTAGACGTGAGCCATCAAGCGTCACGCATACGCCGCGTGGGCTCCTTCGACACAGCATGATTTCTGCAGCTAGTTCATTAGACATCTCCGCGTCTCTTCGCTACAGCGAGTCCTTTATTTATATATTTATTTATCGGACATTTATCATGAAATTACTGTAATAAGTTGGCGTGCCATGATTTATGCCACGAAATTATTTCCACTTGTTTTTCATCCTCCCCTCTCGTCTCGTGACGGCCTCCTCGCTGCCTTTCGCTTTCAATTATGTTCAGGACTCTTTGTCCTTCATCCTGCGTATGGATTCCCGATGATGGGCATTACACGAACTGCGGTCAAATCGCACGCACGCCTGGCTCGGCAACATTTAGCTAACTGATTTGTCGCCATTCATTGGAGTTGTCATTGTTGCTCTCGGGTTGGTTTTTGGGATTCTCTGCGATTCTGACGATGACAAAGGAGGCGGTGGCTGCCGAAGCCACTGCTGGTAAGCTGGTTTGTCTTGTTAGCGCTCTGTCCGCCGACATGTGTGAGATTTCCGGGGCCAAGAGTTATGGAGCGAAATATATCAAGCAGCAGTTTTCATGTTGAAGTTTGTTACACTTTAAGGAGAAGCTTTAGGTTTTCAGGGAAAACTTTAAAGCGTGGCTACTATATTTTACTTTACTTTACATACTGATTGTTGAATTATTATAAATTAAAGCTTTATTTGTTTGTTATTAAAACATCTCATACATGATTATTAAAAATATAAAAATATTTACAAAATATATATAATATTTATAGTGTTATTTGTAAGTTCTATATCATACACGTTTTTTTAGCTGACTTATTAGTCTTATTTTATAAAATGTATATAAAGGGAAGATCTATCTGTAGTATTAAATATTAAGCAGTGTTAAATATCCGATATTGTATATAATATTTATTAATTTATTCATTTGACTGTATATCTTGAAACTATTTATAGACTGAATTTTTTGGCTTTGAGAACTATTTCATATAAGAAAACTAATTCAAATATATAAACCCAGATAAGTATACATTATGCGACCAAAAATAAAGGGTTTATATTATTCATTCAAAAGAGAAAACATTGATAATAAAGATAACTTATAATAATTAAATAATACCTTGCAAATTAATGGGTGTAGTGAAGACAAACTTTATATCTTGCAAATACAAATAAAACAGAAACTACACATTTCTCTCTTTATTTTATATGAAAATATGGCAGTTATTTGGATAATGCCTTGCTCCAACATATCCTTTACTATGCATTGTACAATGCAATGCCTCGCCCCTAGATAAACCATTAAAACATCGAATAAAAAACTCAGCCATTTGCCTGATAGGCCATGGCATCGAGGAACCATTACCTGCCCCAATAAAAGCTGAGTGGGGCTGTCGCCATGTGACTGCGGTAATAACGACGGCATGAAATTCGTAGAAAAGTAAAATCAAAGCACAAAAACGGGGAGGCATGGGGGTGTAGTGGGGAACAAAGAGAGAGAGAGAGAAGTGCCACCGAATTGACTTAATTCCTTATTGTTGTTTTGGGGGTTTCCTTTTCGACGATTTGCAGGGCAGAACAGCTGATTCGGTTTAAGAGCGAAAGCTTCGGAGAGCAGGACACGTTCCACTTCCAGGCTCTCTGGCTCTCTTGTGCGTGGAGCTTAACCCACATTGCCGACGAGGCCTGAAGCCTGGCCGCCGACTAACGTATGCTTCAGTCGTTGGAATACACTCGTGCGCCGTGGACACAAGTTGAAATCGCTCTGTCGCCGGAGACTTGCACGTGGCAGCGGTACTGAGGTCCTTTGCTCTCCGTCGTTTCCTCTCCGCGGGCGTGTGTATGTGTGTGTGGGTGCTACAGTAAATGTGAGCAATTGAAAATGTGTGCGTTTCAGGCAAAAGTTGTCCTTTTATCTACGCGAAATTAAAGCGAATCGACAAACACATGCGTATCCTGTGGAAATGTAAATGTAAATGTATGCCATGGCTTGAGAATCCGCGTCACCGTCTCCTTTGTCTGCTGCCTTGCGGCATTCCTCCAACTTTATTTATTTTATGCCACTCTCCCGTCTCACGTTTTGTTGCGTAGGGCAGGCGCCCAAGAAGTGTTTGCAGAAATCAAACCAAACGAAAAAAAAAGGATGAAGAGAAATAACGTTAGCCACATAGCTCACACTCCACTTAACGGTCATTGACGTTGGCGTTTCATACATTATTTTTTTTGTATTTTGTTTTTGGGAGAACAGAACCCGTTGCATGCCTTTCATTTGTCCCGCCGAAGCACGCCTTGCATGCAATTAGGCCCTTGTAAGTTTAATCGCCGCGGATGGAATAATTTAGCCAGGCGAAATCGGCAACGACACCGTAGCTCCCAGAAGTAGGCAGGCAGGGTTTCAATTGCTGAGTCCTAAAGGAGTTATTAAAAATACTTTTTTCGTTTTCATATTGACAACTCTTTTCTTTATTTTACTATTAAACATTAATTTGGTTTTACGCCTAAGTGAGCACTTAATGACACATAGAAATAAACATATATTAGTTGATTTACAATACATCCTCAGGTTTACTTTATACAAGTTAATATTGAATTAAAATATTTGTATAAGCATTCAATTATTTATCGCTGTATTGCAAATATTCCCCAGGTGGTATTCATATATATTTTATTTTAATATTTCTCTCAACTAATTGCTTTAATTTTATAATTACAATGGACACAGTTAGCAGAAAATATTTTAATAACACACAACAGTTTTTAATAAGCAAACTAAATGTAATCTATTTTATATAATTGGTTTTGTCCATTATTAATCTACTTTGTAATCAAAGTCAAAAGAAGCTTTAATATATTTAAATATATAATGCTAACTAATAGTTAAAACTAAAACTAACTAAAATTAATGATAATGATACCGCTCGACTGTGTATTAACAAAAGAGGTGTTTATATTACATATTAAAGTTATAAATTAAATGTTGTGTATGAGATTGGTTTTGTGAAAAAACAATATTATTTTGTTGGAGTTTTCTGCTTTCGGATTTCGCTAATAATTGGATTTTCATGGGAAAAAGCTTTCATTTATTCAGTAATATTATCTGTTTTGAATAATATTATTTTACTTTTACTTACTTTTTATATTATTCAGAAATACTTCTTATTAATGAATCAGTATACCTTCAGCCGAAAATATACGTCTTTGTTTTTTAATTTTTTTTGTATATTATTAAGAAATACTATTTACCTTTTTAACAGAGAATATAGGTTATATTTGTAGGCAATTTCATACAAAAAGCTTGTATTCAAAATATAAAATCCTTTTATAAATATTACATTTCAATAGAGAATAAAAACTAAGCCAAGGGTAAACGTTTTTTGTCTTTAACTATATTTATTTTCTATACGGTCTGCTTGCATTTAAAAAAACACAGTTTCTCGTTGATTTATTAATAAACTAACCAAATCTGATGACGGATTATATTTTCAATGATTTTTTTAAAATGCCTTATTTGCCTTATTCATAAAACTCGCAAATACATATTCATTATGAATAACAAATTAAAACTTGCGTATAAAAATATATATTTTTTTAGTTAAGTAAAAAAGGAACTGTTTTTTATCGTATCCCTTTCATTCTTGGCCACGGAATAATCAAATATTTAAATAGAGTTATATTATTCCTTACTGAATAATAATTTTAAAACTCATTTTTTGCATCACTCTATTGGTCAAACTAGCACTTAATACTTGAAAATACGCATCGGATTCGCATTCATATCAAAAAATAAATTCAGGCCAACGAGTTTTTCTTCTCTTAGTAGTTTCGACAAAAACCATTTCAATATGTCGCAACGCAAATAGAATGAAACGCGAGAATTCCCATTTGTAAATATACCAAAAAAATATAATAAAACAAAAAGTGAATCTTTAATAAACACGTTTGGCTGAACGGTACTATGTAGATTTAATAAAACTCGCTTGCTTTTTATTTATTCGAAGCCTTAAAATAACCCAAACGCAGTTCGGCAATATTAAAAATAAATGAAACCCCAAATGAAAAAGGAAATTAAACAAATATAAATGTAGCAAACGATTCAATTTCAACATAGGATCTAACAAAAACGGCGAACAAAAGCAAACAGAAGCTGAACCCGTGAAAAGTGAAAGCAATTGAAATTCGGCCAGAAAAAGACTTGAAATAAAATGATTTGTTGGTGCGCGATATATGAAATATCAACAATTTCGGCCAAACGGTTTCCCGATACCATGTACAAAGCAGTGAGTGTGCGTGTGCAATTGTGTGAGCACCTACAGAGCAAATAAAAAAGGAAATAACAACGATAAAGGACGAAAAGGATACGCGAGCTTAAAAGAAAAGGATTTTCGACAGTCCCAGCTGACCGGAGAGGAAGCAGCAGGCACGACCCCCGGATTATTTTCGCCAGCAGTCCGGACAATAAAACTGCCAGTGGTCATAAAAAACAGCAGCCGTACACATGGATGTGTGTATATAGATCACTGACTTTTCCAAGGTAAGTCGAGGACAAGACGAAAGCTTATATTGTCAATTCAGTAAGGCAAAGATGTGTCTCCAAGATCGTCGAATGATTTACCCGTCACGGAAAAGTGTGTTCGCCGCTCAGATCAATCACATTGTTCCCTAATTTAGCCCGGGCGCTGCGTCAACAGAAATAAAATCAATTCAATGAAGATAAATGAGTTCAAAGTGAAACCCAAGACGCTAGCGTATATATTATAAGCCAAGGCTTCGTCCTGACTGGGTCTCCACTTTCACCAGCGATTGGCAGCGGTAATAAGCGATTACAATGTCGCAAGTCTAAATCCAAGTCGCAGCAAGGACGACGCCGCAGTCACGTGCGCCGCAGGACCACAATGCGACGCAGGTGTTGCGGGAAACGGATGTCGAAGGATATCGCCAGGCGACACAGCACATCATAGGAGTCTGGCGGTGGCCATAATTTACCCCGACACCCGGCGGCTGTCATAAGAAAGTTTCATCTTATTACTCATACGCACCCACGCCAGGCCAGGCCAGACTCTCTCTCGCTGATGAGCAGGGAAATCAAATTAATCATTCTGCCAATGATTGGAATGATTTCTTCTGGCTTCCCTTATCGATTTGGATTCTTGGGCCTGTCTGACACGCACCGAGGTACCTGAGTCGCTATTTTTAGTAGGCGCAGCTGTTGGCTCCCACTTTTGGCGGCTGAAGGTGGAGGGTGTTTTCCGGGGAGTACTGCATAAATTAGCGCAAATAATTATGCAGATTTTTTCGCCCGCTTTTATTGCCGTGCGCAAATAAACGCCGCCAGACGAAGAATGACGAGCTTGTTTTGAACTTTTGAATATTTTAACGCTCCATAATTAGTCGGCGGACCAACTTGAAAATTTCCCCTTTTCATTGCTATATTAGAGGTGAACATTCGTTGAGCGAACTTTGCCCATTCATTTTACCGAACTTTGACTTCCTTTTATTTTCAAAGGGAAAAAGGAAATGATGTCAAAGTTGCCTTTAAATTTAATTTAAAACTTGAAGGATCCTGTCTAGGGCTTTTATATTATTTAAGTATTTATTTTAAATGTTTAAAATGTTTACTTTTGTGCTTAATATTTGCAAATATATAAGGAAGAAATTTAATTCGTCTCTAGATATGATGAGTTACTTGTCTTGAGATCAGGAGGCAGGAACCTAGACGATATTATGTGCATACAAATGTATATTAGCAAGTTAAAGTAGCAAATAAAGGTCTCAAAATCAGCCAATGACCAATTTAGAAAGTAATTAAATGTTTCCTGTTTACGGTTTAAGAAGTACTTAACTTATTTCCATGACATTTTTCATTTTTTATATTTTTAATTTTACTATGACATCTTTCATTGCTCTTCGTTTGTAATTTGAAATAAATTTTGTACACTATACAGCTGAAAAATTAAAATTTCCAGTGCATAGAAACTACTTTATTTTCCAATTCAACACTGGATAAACTCCATAATCTTAAATATTTAATAACCAGTAAGCTGGGTAACCATGTCCATTTTCTGCATGTCCTTGTCTTTCTCCTGTAACGGAGCACCTGATCCGAAGAACAATTGCTCCAGTTCCTCCGCCAAAAACAGCGGCACAGGTAATGAGATTCTCCCCCAAAATATGCTCGACTCGTTCACGTGGCACCAGAGGGGCTTTCTGATATTTTCGCGCAACCCAATCATCCACTGCGTCAGTGCTAAGCTGGCAATCCAACAGACGAACTCGGTGCAGTTGGAGCTGCAAGACCCATCTCGGGGCTTTACCAGAGTCAGTTCCATGCACCAGCTGACTACAGGTGGAAACCCCGCCAACTGAGTGAAGGCCGCCTTCTCGGGCACGACTCTCTTTGTGGCAGTGGCCGCAGCAATTGACGGCAGACGATGAATCCTCGTGGAGCGCCGGCCCGCGTAGTCGACGGTAATCAAGGCGTCGGCCATTTCGCTGACCACCTGCTTGGGTACCTGCCTAGCAGCAAGCACCTGACAAACTAAACGCGGTGCCATCCCAAGTCTAATGGAGTCTCCTGTCCATTTCTTTGAGATGGAGGGGGGCGTACATGAGCAGAACCCACTTAAATTTCTGTCAAAGCAACTTGAACTCCGCTGGTGGAATATCTATCTTAAAACTGCTAGATGCCTTACGTACTAAATTCGTATATGGAGACGGGAAAACTTGTGTCTATTATTCATTAGCTAGTTACTAACCCGATTTCCTTAATTTTCCATAAATTCATTCACTTATTGTTTTTGGTATAGTCTATTGATTCCAAAGCTAAGTAATTCGGGTTTTAAATAACTCAGTCGTTTCAAAAACCTGAATAGATTGAAACCATTCTTATTTCTTTTATAAAAACATAATTTGAGCTTTATAATATTTGGGATACTCATGAGATTCATAAGTAATTTAATATTTATTCTCGAAATACATTGTTAAATGTCCTTAAGTATCTTTTTCGAAATGAAAATTAATTACAAATTGTTGTTATAGAAACATTTTCAACGCTTTAAACTAGTAAACATTTTAGAACTAACCACTTTTATATTATATTTCAAGTACGTACATTACGTTTAGTTGCGAAATTAAAAAAATACTTAAGCATTTTGCAAACAAATCTCCCTGCTGTTTGTTTGCTTTGATATTCATCACGTTGTTTTCCCAACGGTTAGCCCTTGGAAACCGCTCACAGTTAGCATAATATGCTGCTGCAGATAAAAAGAAATATTTTCCACAAACAAGCATGCATATCCAAATGAGCTACTTTCGCAGCCAGCACTCCTCGCTGTGCGTACTTGAATTGTCAGCGCAGCAAACAACGAGATATCAGCAGAGTAATGCCAAAAAGCAGAACAAATGCAAACCAAAGGCTTAAAAATGTACACAAATTGCACTGGCACAGTTAAGGATGTGTAAAGTAACCTTGGGCCACGCACACACACACCACAGATACAACAGACACACACTTGTGTGAACAGATACATGTGCACGGGGTGGCTACCAGATGCAAAAACTGGTTTCAGGGGTGTGGAAAAAGTGCCTGTGACCTTGTTGTACTCGCCAGTTGTGTTCTGATAAAAAATAAAATGGCTCTTAAATTTCAACAGTTTCCCTAGTTTTTTTTTTTTATGCAGACAAGGACTGATTTAAAATGGAAAACTGACACGATGGTTCAATTTCATATGCATAATTATAAACGACCAATTAGTTGTTACACCAGGCAGAGCAAAAAATTTGAATAATTGAATTATATTTATCAATAAAGTTGTGAATTCTGAATCTATAATTATGCCAAAAAGGGGTATTATATGAAACAATTTTCACTTTGATAAGAGGATTTAAATATTTTCTCTATTACGTGAAATTTATTAAATATAATGCGCCATCAGTGATTTTCATTATTCTAGTTACTCTTAATTATTTTTATAAATAGTAGTATTACTGAAAAAACTATCCAATTCTCATACATTTTGATCCACTCGTATTCCGCAAATTAGATTTTTAAATGTTGTTAAGATTTCATGTAATGAACCGCCCTCACATTCTGATCTAGGGGTCTGACTATATATACTTATTCGTTCTATTGGGTTGCTGCATCTAAATGCTAGGTCCCTTAACTCTATCAGATCGGGATTTTCGCTGTCGTAATATTGACTTTTCGAGGTTATTACACAATCGATTTGTACGTTAGTTTTAGAACAGTCAAAAGGAGCCTGCCCATCTTACAATTTATTAAAGCAAATTTTATTAATTCTTTTTTTCACCAAAATTTGTCGACTTTATCTTATAGATCATATGAAAAGCTGCAACGGCATACATAGACGGACTCTCGGAAATTAACTTCCCTTCTCGTCTATTGTTCAATAATGTTTCTGAGTTTGTCAATTAGTTTAGTTCTTTGTTATTTATCAAAGCCTTAGATGACATAGCTATATAAATCAGAACAGTGAATCATTGAATAATAAGACTACTTGTTTGGGTACCAAATTACTTATACCATTGTTTCAACGTGGGTCTAGTTTCCTTCTAAGCAATGTCGTCTGAGTATACCAGCATTGTATACAACATTACGCGACAATAAAATACAAAATTGATAAGAAATTTTTAGGTATTTAATACAAATACGACAAAATAGATTTGCTTTTAAATAAAGATTTTATATTGAAATCTAAGTATCAAGAAGTTCAAGCAGGTTCTATTTATATAATAATCAAATATAAATAAACTAACAAGTTGCATTGTTGTAAGCTAGAATTCAACTGGTGCATCCCCTCTTAAAATATATTATGTGACTGTACATAACAGTTTCCTTTCCTTAATTAGTAATATAAGTACTAATAAAATTCATTATTTTTATCAAATTCATAGCACGATGAATGCCTGCCAATTGGCAGCTCGTCTCCTCAACGCAGCCCTGCAGCACAGATAGTCTAAATGACCAGAAGAAAAGCACAACGATCCAGAGCCACATCCAAATAGGTGAAGACAGTTTGAGAATAGCTCGCCAGGTCGCTGAATTCGAAGCTCCGCTCTGCCACGATGGGGGAAAGCCAGCTGCTCCTGTTGCTACGGCTGCTCCTGCTACCCGCTGTCCTGCTCGGCTGGACGGGATGTGCCGAGGCCTCCACCTCGGACATTTACAAGAATGCGCGGTTGGGACACCGCATCGTCCAGACGCGCTACGGCCGCCTGCACGGACTCATCCTGCCTCTGGACAGCTTCCGGTTCCTGCGATCCGTGGAGGTTTTCCTGGGAGTGCCATATGCAACTCCACCCACCAAACAGAATCGGTGAGCAAATAATATGTTTTTATATTTAAAAACTAAAAAAAAACCTTATATTTTTATCCGTTCACAAAAGATAATTAAAGCAATTTAAATTTATATTATATCCAAGCAACTTGCTTAAGGCTTAAACTAGGTTTAAAAATGTTTTTTTTTTCATCTATACTCATCTTAAACATTAATCAAAAATTAATTTTAATAATCCAAATTAGATTTAGCCCCACGCGAGCTCCGGCGCCTTGGGACGGAATTCGCATCTCGGATAAGTACAGTCCCGTCTGTCCGCAGCGCCTGCCCAATATCCAGAATGAGACGGCGGCGCTGGAGAAGATGCCCAAGGGTCGCCTGGAGTACTTGAAGAGACTGCTGCCCTTCCTGGAGAACCAGTCGGAGGACTGTCTCTACTTGAATGTCTTTTCGCCGGTCAACGGTAAGTGCAAAGAAATAAACCTTAAAGTCGTATCCCGGAAACCCGGCGAAAGTAGCCAGCCAGCCAGGCACAATTTGAGCACAAAAAGCTGCACATAAATCTCATTTAAATTCAATTAATTAAGATTAATCGTACGCCACGTAATGCCAATAATTTCTACGCAAAGAAAAAGCAAATGCTCACGTAACCGCTGCGCAAATCTTATCGCAAGTGCCACCCCACTAAGCTCGCAATCCCTGGGAGAGAGCCGGATCCGGCGGAATCGCTAATCTGAAGCGATTCCCCCGCCGGAGAGCTGGCGCAATCCGCTTGGCACGCAAACGGAAGCGTTTAATGGGTCATGAGAGCTCTTGGGCTCCTAGCTCTTGGCGGTGTGTTGAAAGGGAAAAACGCCATATCACAAGTTTCGTAAAATAAATACAAAAAAATAACAGAAATATTTGCATTATGATTGCAAGTCCTGATGTACTAACAGAGTTTTGTTAACCGTTTTTCCGTACTTTTTCAGCCGGTGCAAATGAGAAGAAGTTGCCAGTCATTGTGTTCATACACGGCGAGTCCTTCGAGTGGAGCAGCGGCAATCCCTACGATGGCAGTGTCCTGGCCAGCTACGGAGAAGTCGTGGTTGTGACCCTCAACTATCGGTTGGGGATCTTAGGTAATTAAAAATAAATTTTATAATCAAATGTTATAATCAAATTAGCATTCATTTAGACTGGAATACAAACGTTCTAATATTAACACCTTAATTTATTTTTCAATTCAATTTGTTTGCCTTACAGGTTTCCTCAATGCCAATCCCAATCCACATGCCCATGCGAGGGTGGCCAACTATGGACTGATGGATCAAATGGCCGCGCTTCACTGGATCCAGCAGAATATCCAGAAGTTCGGCGGAGATCCCAACTCGGTGACCTTGGCGGGCCACGGAACTGGGGCGGCCTGCATCAATTACCTGATGACCTCGCCGACCATGGTCCGTGGTCTCTTCCATCGTGCCATCCTGATGTCAGGCTCTGCCTATTCGTCCTGGGCGCTGGTCGAAGATCCAGTACTATTCGCCATCAAGCTGGCGAAGGAGGTTAACTGCTCGATACCCGAGGACATTAATCGGCATCACGAACAGATTGTCGACTGTCTGAGAGATGTGCCGCTGGAGGATCTTTACAGCGCAGACATTCAGGCGCCAAACTTTCTTACGTCCTTCGGTCCATCGGTGAGTTTTAATGTGGAAATAAAAATGGTTCTTTTAAGTCTTTAATATATATTTAATCCATTAATGTTCTCGATGGCAAATTAAATGCCAGTTGAAGCCAGAACCAAAAAATAAGTTAAACCTTTCGTAACAAAAGAAATGCAAAAGATTATTACTATTTCTGACAAAGAAATCGTCGTTATCTCAAAAGAGATTTGGCCAAGGCCAAAGTCTCTTTTAAAGACATTGCTTTCGTTTCTTGCTGCACTAGCTCCCTTTTGTCTGGTCCTCGCTTCAACGGACTTTATTACTTACTTACTTGGACCGCCCCTTGCGCCTGCTCCACTACCCCTGTCATTTACTTGCGATTCGCTCTACCGTCCTCGATTTCAATTTAGGTTGATGGCGTTGTCATACGACCCGGACATTCCAATCTCGATATCGATGATTTAATGGCGCGCAACTCCAGGCGTTCGTCAGCGGACTCCGGCTTCCAGTCGAACGCCGGTGGTTCCGGCGGCGGAGGCGGAGGGAATGGACCCGGCTCCGGTGGATCCGGCGGCGGGGGAGGAGGAGGAGGCGGCGGCTTCGGATCGGCATTCGGAGGGGGATACGCTGGCGGAGGAGGTGCCGGCTCGGCCAGCATGGGTGGTCACTATGACGTCCTGTTTGGCGTCGTTACGGGCGAATCGATTTGGCGCTTCAGTGCTCACGACATTCAAAACGGTTTCGAGGGCGAGAGACGCGATAAAATTATCCGCACTTACGTCCGCAATGCCTACAATTACCACCTCAACGAGATATTCTATACGGTGAGTAATTTCATTTTTTCTATTTTTATGTATTTTTTGTTTATATATATATTTTTTTTTGTCTGCTTCTTGGTTCATAAATCTTGCCAATCAGATTTGGCTTCCCCTCCAAATGACTTCTTGGTGGTCGGGCTTGTCTGGCATCAGTTAAAGCTTAATTATTGCCCTTATCGGGGAGTTTACTTCTTGACTGGCAAAGTTTTTTTCCTAAAAAGTTTATAGACAGCTGCCAGATGAAAGAAATATGTTTCGGCATAGTGAATCATTTATTTTCCATGAAAAATGTCTCGAGTTACAATTTTAGATGCAAATGAAGTCTGGACTCGACTTGTGACAAGGCAAATCTTTTTCTTTTCTATAGAGAATGAAACAAATCAAATTGTCTTTAATTTTAAATTGAAAGCTGGGTGATTTTGGGAGATAAAAAATTCTGAAAAAATAATCTAAGCACTAGGACTAAATATATTTTATGATTTTAGACTTTATTTCCTCTCAAACATCATTTGGAAAGCAAATAATTGACTTTATTTCCATTTCTTTAATTTGAAATAGATAAGAAAATGATTACGGTAAAAACTTTTTGGGATTCATCTTAATTTACATCAAAATTAAGTTTATTTATAAACCAAACATATATATAAAGTAGCCTTCAACTGGGCTGCTTGGCCGCCCTTCAAGGCCATTCCCATTATACTCCATTAAAATGATTAAACCCTTAGAAAAGTTGATGTTTTCAATAGAGTAATTGGCTGCAAGCAAACACTTCTAGATCCCAGGCACAAACAGGCAAAAGCAACAGCAGCTGCAACTGGAAAAAGTCAATTAAAATGGAGGCACTCTCTTTGAAAGTGTGTGTGAGCCAGTGTAATTATAATTTCACATGGCGAATGAGTAACATTCGCCACTCAAACAGACACACACTCAGACTGTATAAATGTCTGTCTGCATTTCATTTTTGCGCTCATGTTTCAGGACATTTGCAACTTTTTAACATTTTTTCACATTTATGCTAGCTGCTGCCGCTTCTGTTGTATATATTTATTTTATGCTCTCTTACTGGCTTTTTGTTTTTATTTTCGCATTGTGCAAGCGGGCGAAATGGAAGGCAGTTAACACGCCATCGCTGCCAAAACATTAACACGCTTTATTTGGCAAATGTGTGCAAGGACATAGACGCACACCTACACACGCGCACATGCCACATACACACTCACACACACATGTACCTACTTAAAAGCGCACAAGCAGCACTTAACCCAAATCACAGCAAACACAGCGGAGAAAAACAGAGAGGCATCCCAACGACAACCGTCAACAGTCAGAGTCTGAAACTGGAACTGAATCTGAATCTGAATCCGTCGCTGTAGCTGTAGCTGTAGCTGTATTTGTATCTGAATCTGAACCTCAGCCTCGGTCACCATTCGCCACATTAACACACACGCACCGTAAATGCGCTTCGGTAGATGATTCTGTGTCTGTGTGCACTGGGAGAAAAGTTTGTTTAGGTCTGTGACTATCACTAATTTAGAGTCACAAGAGAATGAAAACATGATCTTTATTTTTTGGCACTCTTGGCATTATAAGGATTAAACCAGGAGAACATACAATTTAATATTAAAGTTAAAGGAATACATTAATTATCGGGTATGCTCTTGTACACAGAAAACATTTTCGTAGGTTGAATTTACTATTTTTGTGGGTTGAATTACAGTAAAGTACAGTCAATGTATTTTGTTATTGGATTTTTGCCTGTACGAAACTGTTGTTACAGCCAATTACAGTAACCCTTACGTTCCAAATGATGTGTGTATTTTGTTATTGGCTTTAGAGACTGTAATTTACTGTCAGCTGCAGTCAAAACACTGTTCGGTTTACGTAGCTCAGAGAGAGATAGGGAGAGAGAAAGAGATACATTTTATTTTGATCTCTCTCTCTCTCTCTCTCTTTTACGGCAGAATCATGGTTGGATTTACTGTAGAGCAGTCATATAACGTAACGTCGTTACGTAGCTTACAGTAAATTCAACCCATGATTTTGGGTTGGGGCACTTTGACAGTGATATTGGTTGAATTTACTGCATGAATTTTTTCTGTGTAATAATAATTTTAAGAAATTATACATTTTTATACAATATATTTTAAAGACAATTATTATTAAATTATTTTGAAATTTATAAATAAAAAGAATTTTTAAATATGATTTATTTTCCTAATGGAACCCCTTTTTAATTCTAACAACTATATAAACTGCAAGATTTTTCTAAAATTTCAAACCAATTTAACTGAATAGCCTTTTCTTCAGTGTGAGTGCGAGGCGCAGATATATAATATAAAATATACACACACAGACATATATATTAAGAAGTCGTAAATTACCAGGGCATATATCACGATTATAGCGCTCAAGTCCGTATTTATTTTACTTCATTATACTTTTGTACAACCGCAACGCAGGTCCTTATTCATACTTCACAAGGCTCGATTTATATAGGTCATAGGTCACAGGATTGAGTGCCAAGGCAATCCCCAGCTAATGATGACTAATCAAAAATCATAATCGACTGGGACATTTTACAATCATTTATTTATGCTTGCCAAAAAAAGTAAAAAATAAAAATATGAAAATCCCAAATCATTAAAATTCGCCGGAAAGGGACAACTTTTCCAAACAAAAATCAATGTTATCCCAAAAATAGATTCAGAGCAAAGCACAGCAGCAGCTGAAATTCCATGTTAATGTATTCCACATACAATTGTTAGATTTTTCCTTTTATTTCTTTTACTTCATTTTTGTTTTTTGTTGATAGGGTTTTTAAATTATGCATGACATCGATTTTACAGATGCAGTTTGTGGTCGTTTATTTTTCGCACACATGCTGGTAGAAATAATCATTGGGGTGGTAACAAGTCGTCCTCCTGCTCGTTTTGCGGTGGTGAATGGCCACCGCAAACAAGGACAGCAAACAGTTTCAATCCGCTTGTAATCCAGCCAGGATTTGACTTGGCACACATGCAGCCAATGCAAATCTAAAACCAGCTCATTTACACTTTAGAAAATGCAATTGAAACTGGTAGGAATAGGAAAATGTTCTTTAGTTTTGGGAAAAAATATTTTACTAAAGAAGGATTTAATATAAATAAATATATTAAGGGAAGAAATATTCTTTAAATTCTCTTCTAACATTTATTATTTATAATTTGGTGTGTTCTAATACCTTACATTTTTCAAGTGTACCTACGTTTGCAAAAGGATTTTAAAATGGAAAATCCCATTCCTTTCTCTCCCCAGATCGTCAACGAGTACACGGATTGGGATCGCACCTCACAGCATCCGATCAACACCCGGGACACGGCAGTGGCCGCCTTGTCCGATGCCCAGTTCGTGGCCCCTATTGTGCGGGCCGGCGATATCCTGGCGGCCAACTCCCCACCACCAGTAAGCTCCTCCTCGCCCACCGGCTCAGCGGGTGGCAATGCGGCAGCCTCCACATCGGCGGGGTCCACGCTGCCCGCGGGTCGGTGTTATTTCTACGTGTTTGACTACCAGACAAAGGACGGAGACTATCCCCAGAGGATGGGCACCGTGCACGGCGAGGACTTGCCCTACATCTTCGGTGCCCCGCTGGTCGATGGTTTTAGTCACTTTCCGCAAAACTACACCAAATCGGAGACGGCTCTGTCCGAGGCGGTGATGATATTCTGGACGAACTTTGCGCGCACCGGGTAAGTAGGGGGATTGGGCAGGAGCCTCGGCTGTCCTAAGTGTCTCTGAGCAGTCTTAGGACACCTGCTGTCTTGTCTGCACTTTAAGCTCCACTTAAATGTCCGACTTACTCATGCACTGGGCAAAAGCAAGACATGACACAAGAAGTCAAGTAAACTGGATGGCCGAAAAGTTTTTGGGAGAACTGCTGCAACTCGGCTTACTAAAATCCTAAAAGAATATTTTCATTGGGATACTATTTATGAATTTTGTATTACAAATAAGCAATGTTTCTTTCCCCTCAAAGAATTAACAGTGTAACGTTTTCTTTAATATTTTCAGCAATCCAAACGAACACCATCGCCAGGACTCGTCGCTGCCCGTCTCAAAGGAGCGCAACCGCTTCCGCAGCATCACCTGGGAGAATTATGATCCGCTGCATCAAAAGTATTTGGAAATAGGTGAGCCAGCAGAAACTTTTCTCCAACTTTCTTTATTTCTGTGAGGGGGAAATTCAACCAAAATCTTCTTCTGAGCTTCCAAAGAACTGTGTGATTTGTTTGTAGTTGGAAATTGAAGTAAATACTATGTTAAAAGTTTTAGTCGATTCTTGTCTTCAATAAAACAATATTTTTTGGGCTGAATTTAAAACAGTCCCCGGCAGGAGGGGGTCAGCTTGTTAATATGCAAGTGGCTTTAGCTACAAAACATTTCTTATACATCTTTCACCCCCGAAAAATGCCTCCAAAATGCTGTATGGCTACTTTGGCATGCAGTAAAAAGAATTCATGGAATTCATGCCAAATAAAAGCTACAAATTTACAAGAAAAAGAACGGGGAATGAAGGCCTAAGCACACACAGCCAGCTGCAAAAAAAAAGGGAGAATCAAATTTAATTTGAATTTTAAAGAAGGCAACGCCTGAACATGCTCAGCTTGCTAACAACAGCAAATTGAGGGGGTGGTGGTGGCTCAGAGGGGCTGCAAAACGAGGGAGTTAACACACAAGTACTTGAACGAAATCTGAGTGGAGCAGGAAAATAAGCATCACAGCGGCGACTGTCAGCATATACTGGGGCTAAAGCAACACCAGGTAGATGAAGGGCAATCAAAACGCCCAGAGATTGTCGAAACATTACGTGAAGTGCGGGCTGGGGCTGGGATATGTGAGGGGAACGGAACTCGGGGCGAGGCATAAAGCTTTATGCCCGCGTTAAAATGGCACCGTTGCTTCATGTCAAATGTACGAAAATGTTATTAATTTCAAATTTTTCACACCTTTTGTGCTTGAGCGCGACAGGGACATGGGAGAAGTACACAAAGCCGATAGAAAGAGAAATATGCATATTAATTGCATAATGTGAGGATTACCAAATACCCTGAATTTTGGCGGAAATTCATTCTAGGAGTTTCTAATCGTCAAAATATACAACATTTTTTGTAAGGTGAAAGGAGTTTTTGGAATTAAAAGAGGATGTTTACACAAATAAACCTTAATTTACGGAATTATTAGATAAATGTACATTACATTTTATGTAGTAAATTAATTTATAAGTAAAAAAAAGCATATAAAATCCTTAATACCCTTCTTTGGTATTCCAAAACTTTTAGTAAGATACATAAATTTTATTTATAAATTTAAATTCAAATAGAAATCGGTTTAAATGGAATTATATTCAATGTAGATCAAATTAATATCAAAATCAATCTACCCACTTGACACACAAATAAGCCACACACTCTTGCACGCTCACCTTTACACAGATAGCGACAGATACGCGCGCTTAACGGTTTATGAAAATTACGCACAGGTTATGGCAATGGATTCGCCTTACATTGTGCACACCAGAAAGGCTTTTTTATATATATTTAGTCAGCTAAGAGGAAAAAATCCTGGTAAAAGGGGGACAGGGCCTGCTGACACGCACTTTACGCACATGTAAGCATTGAAGGACGATGCGTATCAAAAGATATGTCTGCGCTCCCCATCCTTCGCCTTACTTGCTCCTTTTTGTTTGATTTTAATTGAAACGGCACACAGCGACAGCTGACATTCTATACAGCAGACCCGCCCTCCCCACGCTTTGCTGCACTTTACATAAGCAAGTTGAAAGGATTCCGCCGTGAAGAGTTTTTATTTGATACGCCAGGAAACTGAAATCGAAATCAAATAATACGGAGGCAGGGGCTCCGGCACAAAGGGATCTCTTTCGCACACAAAGGCAGCTGTCACACATATGCGGCGTATACGTAACGCGTGTAGTACACATCGAACTATAAGCATATCTTATGTATAAACCGAGTATTGAAAAGGTTTTGCTACGTAAATTATGCAGCAGCAGCCCGAACGCCTGCAATATTTATTTCGGATTCGGATTTGCACTTGCGATTGATGATTGCAAGGGGAATGATTTTGGCGAACAGAAGTCCTTTTTCAAAATTTCATATTTCCCCACGAACGCTCCCAGTGGGCGAGTGTCGAGCGAAAGTTCAAAGGTGTGTGTGTGTGTAAGCCTTCGGAGGATTCAAGCGAGAATCATTCCTGGTTCTTTTCAGATATTTATAAATACATGAAGATATGAGGAAATACCTCAACTTGTTTACCCTCAAAACAAGTGGGCTACGAGAGTCGGGTTTTTGCAAGCTTCATTTGGAGACACTAGGAAAATTGTTACTATTTCTATTCTACCCACCAATTGCCAAAGTAATGAACAAAATATTATTTATTTATTGTATATTTATCTATATTTAAAGGGTATATATTTCTTAACTATTTATTGGTTTACATTTAAATAATTTTGAGATCGTCTTGCAGTACTTTAGAGTGATTTCATACCATATTAAAATTTAAAACTAATTTTTGTATTTCAGTAAAACTTTTTTGCAGTACATATGGCAGGTTCTTGGTAGAAATAGCTGGGGGCATCAAAAATTAAACAGTTATGTCGCTTTCACCCCGCCAAAATAAACAAGACATCGGGTTTGAGTACTGAGGACAGAGGATTGAGGCCTTAGGACTGAAGACTGAGGACTACAGACTAAGGTCTAAAGGCTATGGGCTGGGGTCTTGGGGGGCCGGAAACCCGAGAAAGGAGGAGGTCTGGCCTCAATTGAGCCAAGTGTCTGTCGCTCACCTTTTTGGCATGCAAATGACTCGAAAGTGGCCCAAAAGCAACAGCAACGGCCAAATGGAATAGTTTAGCATTAGAGCTATTTGCATGCATGCTTCGTGGGCGGATGAGTGTGTGTTTTGGTATCTGTCACATGGAAATGAAACTGAAAATGAAGATGTTTACCCTGACGCGCGTCCCTTTGTTTTCCGTTTTGTTTGCAAATCAAAAAGAAAACCCCCAACCGAAAAGAACCCTACTAACCAACGGGATACTCTTTAAATTCCAGGAATGAAACCGCGCATTAAGAATCACTTTCGGGCCCATCAACTCTCGATTTGGCTGCGTCTGATACCAGAGCTCCATCGCGCCGGCATGGAGGATGTGATAGCCAGGCACAATCTGTTCCGAAATCACGATGATATGGACCTGTACGAGGGACCCGTTAAGCCGGATCCGTTCGGCATATCAACAGCCACTGGATCCGCCGGCTCCTCATCCTCCTCCTCGTCGTCGTCGCGCCTCCTGCTCATCGATGAGCAATTGATGATGAAGAAGGGACGCGGCCTGAATGCCTCAGCCTATTTGAACGGCATATTGGGCGGTAAGTAGCCCCAAGACAAACACACAGACATGGAATCGCATTCATACGGCTGCACGGAAAGAAATTACACTTGTCTGTATACATATATTTTTGCTCAGCTAGAAAAATACATTTACAAAGTGGAGGTCGTAGTAAATAATTCGTGTCCAAGACTGCTGTTTTATTTATTATAAAATATTTATTAACTTAGTGTCTGCGTCCTTTTCCATCGCTCGATTGAAATTCAATAATGGAATTAATGTTAGATATAATTTACAACTAGTCGATATCATAATGAAATATTATCATTTCATAAGTTGATATACCCTGGCTTCGTTATTATTTTCGTTCTGTGTGGCTGCGGCTTGTCACTGTCACCTAAATACCTAAAAACAACAAATAAGCCGGCACAAAACGGCAAACCGAGCCCAAAGGAATAACGCCTATCGCCTTTGTAGATTGTATTTTGGTTTCGTCCCTTTTGGGCCTTTGTACAGTCTGCAGTTGTCGTTTAATGCGGTTGACAAAGGCCAAGCCGAAAGGACACTTGACTGGCCTTTGGGTTTTGGCTTATTTAATTGCAATTCTGCAGAAACTGACAAATTAAAATAAGGGTGAGCTTAACCTTTTCTTCGATTTCAGCCTCAACGCTTAGTTGCTACTCTGTTTTGATTGGAATACTTATAAGAAATAAAAGTCCTTTAAATGGACTTTAAAAAATGTGTAACATTTTGTATTCCATGACCATAATTACGCATTTTAGGGTAATGATTGGAAAACGGACAAATAAAAATACTAAGCAAGCTATATTATTTAAATAAAAGAATTATATCACTAATTTGAGATTACAAATTGTTGGAGGGGGGCGGCTTTAAGCTGAAATGCACTCGGATAAATAATAACACGTAGAACTTGTCGGGGTTTTACGCGACGTGCGTCGGGATGTTTATTTAGTCGTAGGTAAATTGGTACTAACACAATACAAAGAAATTAAAGCTAGGGAGAGCGGATTGGAAGCTCTTTGGACTGGAAGTCCGGAGGAAGAGGGAGAGAAAAGGAGAGCGTACGGGATCACACTGGCTCCCGAAATTAAACGCCTTTCTGGCGTGAACATTCTCCCCCCTTGCGAGGATACGCAGCAAAAGTAACAGCAAGGATTAGCTCTGGAAAGCGTAGGATAACGCTGAGCACTCGTTGGCATGGAGAAGAGTGTGGTGATCCTGTCCACACGACTGGCATCGGTCTTTACTACGACACGATCCCCCGGAATGGTGGTGGGCCAGGCAGTTGACGCAGTACTTCTTTTCTATGACTGCCTGGAGCCGTTTCTCAGCGCTAAGGCGCAGAAACCGGTGGCATTTCCGAAGAGGATGGTTCCCTTGGCAGACTCGGCATTGGTAGGATAAAATACCTCGGGAACGTCTGCTCTTGCTATCGTCGTATGGAACCCAGTAATTGGAGGAATCGGCAGAAGTGGTCACTCGTGTGGAGAACGAGGAAATCCTTTGGATGGGTGCAGGAATTTGTGGTGCGTCATCACGAGGATTCGGAACACTGGACGAAGTGTTGCTTGGATGCAACAATGTGTGATGCCGACCGTGACAAGTAAGACAGCTGTGGGCGCTTGTGCAATTACGGAGCGGATGACCGCTTGCAAAGCAATTTAAGCACAACTGCTTTTTCTCAATGTATGAAGTACGATCTTCTATCGTCATTTGAAGGAAGCGTGGACATTTACGCACTGGATGGTTCTCTGCAGAACACAAATCGCATCTTTTGGATAAGTGAACAATCCGCGTACTAAAGGATTGTAGTACTCGTGGCGACTGGTTGGAGATTGTCGGTTTAGACGAACGGAGGCATATCGTAGGAGGCTGGAGAGAATCGATGGTTTCCAGAGTTCTATGGCGCTCAGTAAGGAAAGAATCGAGTTCTAGCCACGACGGAATATCGGTTTTATTTGTTAAGGATTGCTCCCATAAGGAAAGCGTCAGCTTTGGAAGCTTCGTGGAGCACAAATAAACCAGGAGGCAGTCCCAATTATCCGTAGGAAGGCCGGACAGAGCTAGGGATGTGAGACAATTTTGAATTGTATTCTGCAGCTCCTTCAAGGCTGCCGAGGACTCACGTTCAATGGACTGAATGTTCAACAATTTCCTCAGTTGGCTGTTTACCAACGCGCGTTTATTTTCGAAACGCTCAGATAGGTTTTTCCATGCTGAGCGGAAACTGTCGTTGGTCAGTGGCGAATTTGAAACTATGGAATGAGCTTCACCACTCGTCTTGGCATTTAAATAGAACAACTTTTCTACAGGGGTCAGCGTAGGATTGTCGATATAGACCGCTGTGAAAAGGTCCCGGAAAGTCGGCCAGCGAAGATAATCGCCCGAGAAAACTTCCGTTTCGCACGAAGGAAGCCGACAGCCAGACGGAAAGGAATTTTGGGGCGCAGGAGGTTGGACTGTTGATCTGTTCCATGAACTTAGCGGCACACCGTTCATAAATGGAATAGGTGTCGTCGTATTTTGCCTTAAGGATAGGCAAGGTGTCCTCCGCGCCCTCTAACCCAACTGAAATCAGCTCTGAACAATCTTCGTACTCTTTCTCGACCTTATCCCATAGCGCTCGGACTTGGTCGAGATGGATTTGGCAAGAGTATTTGGATGGAGTGGGCGCTGCTGGATTGCAGACTCGGGACTCGAAGTGACTTAGACGGTCACAGATCAAAGTAAATTTGTCTAAATTTGAAGGAGCCATTCTGGATATTTCTTTATAATTTTTACTATAAATAGGTATTAAAATTTATGTGTCGAAGTTTGATTGGGAATTTAGGAACCAATCGGACTCGTAATAATTATTTTTGAAATAATTATTATATATAATTATTTGTGGAAAATTGTATTTTTCTCGTATGGAATTTAAATCGAGAATATTTGACTTAAATACGGAATTACGAAAATACGGTCACACTAGTGCGGATACGGAAGCGCACTTGGATTTCTAACTTAATTCGTTAGTTGGAATTTTAATATAAAATAATTTACAAATTATTTTATTGATCTGGACTTATGTGATTGACCGGTGTTGTATTTTGGAACCAATACGTGTGTATGTCTATTTGTGCACTTGTCGTATGCAAGTGCAAAATAGCGGAGATAAGGAGAGGCGGAAAAAATTGCCAAATATTGGAGCGTCGACTTGCAGACGATTATGTATGTATGTACATATGTAACTGCAGCTCAGGATAGAGCAAGGGAACAAATAAACAAATATATGTACGAATTAAATCAATTTATAATTTTAGTAGCTGCGGACAGTTATTGTTGTAAATTTGTAAATATACATAAGTTTCGGAGTGAAGTGGACTGTATTTGTAGTATGTATGTAATGTAAATAAATGCTAGCGGGAACACAGTAAACGAGAAGGAATTAAGAATAATTCGTAATTGGAAAGTTTTACTGTGGCTTAGGCATTTATTTAAACAAACACTTTATGAATTTTGGAACCCGTAGATCTTGTATAGAAATTATTTGGATATAATTTCTCGATTTGGGGAAATGTCAATGTTGACAGCGATTGTAGTTTTGTGGAGTGAACTGTATTGAATATGTATGTAAATGTAAATAAATGCTAGCGGGAACACAGTTAACGAAGAGGAATCGAGAACTATTGGAATTCAATTCTCACTGTGGCTATTGCATTTATTTATTTATTTAAACACACACTTTTGGATTTCGGCACAGAAACACAAATGTAGAAAATTTGGAAACCGAATTATTTTGAATTTGGAATTGGAAATTATGCTGCCGTGTGTCGGATCAATCGGACTTGGATTTAGACAATAATCTTACAGAGAAGTTAAGACGAATTGAGTTTCGCAAAACCTAACTGTATGACCGGCAGCAATAATGTAATGGACTTATCTGGTGCGGTGTTAAAGCCACCGGAGCTGCTGGTGGATGAAATCCGGCTCTGATGGACCAAATGTTGGAGGGGGGCGGCTTTAAGCTGAAATGCACTCGGATAAATAATAACACGTAGAACTTGTCGGGGTTTTACGCGACGTGCGTCGGGATGTTTATTTAGTCGTAGGTAAATTGGTACTAACACAATACAAAGAAATTAAAGCTAGGGAGAGCGGATTGGAAGCTCTTTGGACTGGAAGTCCGGAGGAAGAGGGAGAGAAAAGGAGAGCGTACGGGATCACACTGGCTCCCGAAATTAAACGCCTTTCTGGCGTGAACACAAATGTTTATTTGTTGAAAAAGAAAGTATTTGAAACCTACATTCAGTTCAGTTACCTTGCAATTTCTGTCAGTCTCCAACATTTATTAAGGTTTCAGTTGATGATTAGTGCCCATAATGTAAAGCCAAATCCCAAAGCCAAGCGAACATTTACAAATAAGTTATGGACAAGTTTCCCTAAATTGTGTCCTTTCAGACCTCAATTTTTAGGGCCCAGTCATTCGGTTAGATAACTCACACTCATGTATGCATGTGAACAGATGATCAAGCTATTTGAGATGAATCCAAAGTCAAATATTTAAGATGCGGTCACAAAGTTGTACGCACATGTGAGCATTTGTTTAATAACTCGACGCCAAATGAAATATATTCCACATACGCCATGTGGGGCGCCTCTCAAATAAAAGCAAATCCGAAAGGAGAAAACTCTTTCTATTTATTCGGCTCCTCTGCTTTTCGGTTTTCGGTTTTTTGGCTTTCTATATTTTTATTTTTTTCTTGTTATTTGGAAGGTTTGTTTGTTGGAGAGCGAGCTGAAAATCAACACTTTCGGTAGCAAAGATTTCTGTTTACTCTTGGCGTTGGCCTCGGCCTAGTCAGTGTTTACTTCACTTTGTGGTCTCGCAGCAAGTTAAATTGCAGAGTTGGCATTTTTGTGGGGTGTCCACATCCCCATTCCTCATTCCTCATTCCTCATTCTCCTCATCCTTATTCCCATCCCAAACCCATCGCTCCGCTGCCATTCTGTCCCCGGCATGACATTTCCATTTGACCC